ATCAGGACCAATTACTTGGACATGCAAATTTTCAAAAACATCCAACATTCCGTTTCCCATAAACATCTAACCTACCATCTACCATCGACCATCAATCACCCTGTATATTCCTGTTTAAGAATATAGATCGTACTTGATCGGTCAGTTTACAAAATGGCTAAAACCACTAGCTATATCACAAAATAATGTAAAATAAACAATTATTTTGCAATGTGGCCGCGTTTCTTAATATAAAGTGGCTAGCTGTTTTATAAAATGGCGAAATTTCCGTGGGTAAAGTACCTACTCACTTTACTAGTCGGGTGGCTTAGTCTTAAAATTCATAAAAATATTTCACTTCTGGCGGAGAAAGTGCTTTTTTGGATTTAGATAGTAGATATATCAAAGATTAAAAAACGCCCCAGACCCAGAAAATTTCTGACCCCCACTTCCAGTTATGACGTCATCAACGTAGAGATAAAAGAACACGTTAAGCCCGGGCCATTCGGTCAGGGAGGACACGCTGATTCCTTCAATGTAGCGCGCGTGCGGCCAAGAACATCTAAGGGCATCACAGACCTGTTATTGCTCAATCTCGTGCAGCACGAAGTCGTCTGTTCTCTAAGAAGAATTGTTTGTACGCCGATAGTAAAAACCGCGCACGTCAAGGAGCGAACCCCAAAACAGCGGGCCTTTAGGATGTCGAATACGCCTAGTAGCAGACTAGAGTCTCGTCCATTTTCGGAAATAGCCAGACAAATCGCTCCACCAACTAAGAACGGTAATGCACCACCACCCACCGAATCAAGAAAGAGCTTTCAATCTGTCAATCCTTCCGATGTCCGGGCCTGGTGAGTGTTCCCGTGTTGAGTCAAATTAGGCCGCAGGCTCCCTTCCTGGTGGTGCCCTTCTGTCAATTCCTTCAGGTTTCAGCTTTGCAACCATACTTTCCCCGGAACCCAAAAACTTTGGTTTTCCGGAAGTTGCCCGTCCAGTCATCGGAGGAACGTCGACGGATCGCTAGCTGGCATCGTTTATAGTTAGAACAAGTTCGCGCGCGAACTGGATATGGTTAGTTCGTGTAAGTTCGAGTCAGCAATGTAATGACGTCTCGGCAAGCATGTAGCTGGTAATGGCCACAGCCGCGTCGGCATTCGAACAGTTGATTCGGATGATGTTGTTATTGCAGTATCTGCTTTTTCAAAACTTACAAGTATTGGACAACTTTGGATAGATTTTGGGACAGGGAAAAATCGAAGGTTTATAGGAATCCATGAGCTCTGCTCTTGTTTATCTCAAGAGATCTGCAACTTTTTACCAATATTTCATTCCATATAACAGGTTGCGATACTGTGTGTCGTCATTTTGCGGAGTAGGTAAGAAAGGAGCGTGGAAGATGTGGATGGCACATCCGAATATTAATGCAGCTTCTGAGCAACTTCTTATGGGAAGACCTCCAACTGAAGAAATAATGCGCGAGGTTTGACATCTCCCTTCAGCTCTGTCAGCGAATGCAGACAACACCTTTTCATATAAAAAAATAGAGCATTTGAAAACATTCCACCAACGGAAAATGCGTTACTCCAACCTTGCAAGGTCTTTTATGGCTACACTGCCTGGAAAATGAATAGCAGACTCCTCCACCCGATATCTAGGGTTGGGAAAAAATCAATGACGGCTTTCAACCATTGTGGTCTACTATTCCAGATGTCGCAAAAAATAGTGAAGAACTTATTGCCTGTAGCTGCAAACAAAGATGTATGGCAGCATGTAAATCTGTAAGAAGTGGCCTTCGTTGTACCCAACTATGCCACTGTGAAGGTCATTTTGTTCTCAAAATTATTAAATGAATCTATTGTAAAATATGTGAATATACGTCTTCTAGAACTCACAAAAACATTAAAATGTATGTGCACTAAGTGGCGACTATGGAAAATGATTGGAGAGGAGAGCGGAAGAACGGAAGGAGAAGAGCGGGAGAGGGGATAAAGGAAAAAATCTAAATTTTACTAAATTAATATGTTTGAGTAAATTTTTACATGCCTAATAGTGGTTTTTTGACCCTTTTTTTTGATGACGTCATAACTGATAGTGGGGGTAAGAAATGTTTTGGGTCTGGAGCGTTTTTTAATCTTTGATGTATCTAGAATCTAAATCCAAAAGGGCAGCTTCTCCGCCAGAAGTGAAATATTTTTGGGCTAAGCCACCCGACTATACGCACTGTTCAAGAGATGTAAAATTTCTCTTCACGCACTAGTGCGTAAAATAATTCAATTTACACACTATAAACTATAAAGGTAGAGTAATGTCAATGACAGATGTCGACACTGTCAATTAAGTATTTTTCTAGTAAATTACTTTACGAAAATAAAATTATTTTGAATGATGCTTATTGAAGAAACTGGAATAAAATTAATATAATTGCTTAGCTTAGCGATTTTCCCAAATAAAAATAGCATATACTTTGCTCGCACTTGCCCTAGATGTGGATTGTAGCAATAGGGATATGTCGTGTGACGGTATTTATGAGAGTAGCAAACCGTTCATAATATGGCTATCGTATTTTTATTTTCTCAAACATCAAAAAATGGATTGGATAAAAACTAGACAAATTGAAAATTATATTGGTTGATAGGATAATGGATTCCAACAGCCATTAATGGCGAAAGTGTTACCAACTCTACCAACTTCTAATCCACTATCCACTCCCATACTAACGGTACCCAACCACCGAAGGTTACCGTTAGTCTTCACCTGTGTATTTTTTCGAGTCTTTCTAAATACATGTATTAATGCATGTACGCGGGCCTAACATCTCAAATTGACGAAAGAAAGAGTTGACTGATCTAGGGTAGTGATGACAGGTCTTGGCACAGAACATTGGCATTTATAAATGAAATTCAGCAACAAACGACAACTTTGATTGTCGCTTTGAATTAACTTTATAACAACAATTTTCTTTTATTTCCACTGCCTACAACTTCACAAACTCTGCGTTTAATATATACAAAATAAATACAAAGTCCTGTAAATTCTCGTAAATTCAGGTTCACTTAAATTACACACACACGCATATTCGTGTACGGGCTTTCCCATACACTGGTGTTAGCTTCGATCGGATCGTGGATCTATACCTTGGTTCCTTTTCGTCGGGAGTACAGGGAAAGGCAGAAAAGGGTCGAAAACCATAAAGTGATTATAAACCATATAGGCGGCCATAAGTTTTAACTCGAAATAACGTTTGGAATAGTGAGAGCGAGGGTATGACATGAAATGATTGAACAAAACGATTAAAGCGTCATGTATTGAAATATATTTTACAAGAATGTTATTGAATTTGGCAAAAAGATTAATCAATCATGATAATTTTGAGGAGTTGACGTACACTAGTAAAGTGGAGTTCATATAGATGCTAATCACGAATTGGGAATTGTAGAGGCCGCTCCTATTGGTCAGTCCACTGTCAAGAAAAGGGACATCTCTCAGAATTCAATATTTTGCGAATTCGCAAAATTTGAAATTTAGGAGGCGAGAAAATTGGAATTGGTTTAATATTTTGCGATATTCGTTGCGGATTTTATGTCAGCACATGCGTATTTCAAAAATGCTGTTGTCAGCTGCTCCTTCAGTTATTTTGTTTACATTTCGGCTTTGGCCATTTCAATTAGGATTCTTTGATTTTGTCTAGTCTTTGTAATTCTTGTAGTTTAGTTTTTTGTGATTTGCTGTGTGTTTTTTTTATTGTTTATTGCAATATTTTCCATGGTAATTTAATCTATTATTTTTCTCTCAGTCTCCTTTATTGGACTAAATTATAATATTATGCTCCTTGCTATTCTATTTAGGCACCTAAATTTCTTTCTTGCGAATTCCAACAAACAATAAAAAACAACAAAAACAATTATTTGAGGTTATAACCAAAGAAAACATGTGAATAATGCAGCGTTTCCGATTGGTAGATCTAGTGCGGAACTAGTGCAATTTTTTCTATTTCTGTCTTTTTCTTCTACAGGTCGATTAAAAGGAAGCAAATACACTCAGTGCGCACTGAATCTACCAATCGGAAACGCCATTAGTTTCAATACTCCAGTGTGGCACCGAAAAATAAAGTAAATATTCCTAAAATGATTGCGAAGTTCGCATCTATATGAAAGGGTTGAAAAACGCCGATTTTTTTTGAACGAAATTCGGATTTGCAATTCGTGATTCGCATCTATATGAACTACGCTTAACGTTCCACATTACGAGAATTCCGTAGGTAATATATACAGTCGTGAGCATTGAAAATGGGTCACCCGATTGGTAGGTCTTGTCATTTTTCGCTATTTTGGGTAAATCAGTCTTTTCTCTGCAATGGATTTTTTGTCAAATATGACAATCCCTGGTCATTGCTCTAGGTATAGCTGGTGAGCTCGGCACTCCCTGCCTCTATGCTCACGCCTATATATTTTATGACTTTGCTTCAAAAAGTTGGAGGTTTAAAAATGACTACTGGCAACGCCGATTTGTAAAGCAGGAAGCAGGTGGAACACACCTGCAATCGATTGGCATGTCAACGCGTCCTATCAAACTTATATCATATGAGTTAGAAGCAGACAAACAGATAAACGAATTGCACCCGTATGCGCATTTCTTCATTATTTTGGTCAAGTGAATGACAGGTTCAGAGGGGAGATTAATACGAATACGGGTTTTGTTTACACCACTGATGCATTCCTACCATGACCCCTCTCGAGCAGCTCACCTCTCCTGGCCCATGGGAGGTAATGTCATCACAACAAGCATCAGTTTATGAATAAGATGTGGTATCTGTGTTAAGATGTCATTGATATTAACGTATTTCGTTTCCTAGGTATTATGAATTTATAATAGTTGAGTAGAAAATAAAACAACCAAATGTGTTCTTATATTCACTTATTTATTATGATAGGTAGGTACAGTTTATTTTTCCCAAGATAGATTTTGACATTGTCAACTTTGAAACATAAACAATGCCGCTAATGCCGCTTATTGGTCGCAAAATGCCATTTGATGTAAAACTGATGTCAACCTGCAGGGATACGTCATTTTGTGACCAATCAGGGCCAAGCGTTATTGTTTATGTTTCAAAGTTTTAAATGTCAAAATCTATCTTGGGAAAAAATAGACTGCAAATGAGTGCGACCCTGTTCGCTGATAACGTCCACGTCGCACGTCGGAGATTTATTTTATTTTTGTTATGCCATGCCATTGTCAATATCTTTTTTGAAAATGAGATTAGGTATGTATGTCTTGAAAAATATTCGTAACCATACAACTACTCCTAAATAAGATCGAAGATCATTGTGTAGTCAGTAGTTAAATTTATTTTGCCTATCTCCTATCAACTCTAATAAAAACCACTTATCCTTACGTAAACGTTAAATACCTGATTGACGATATAACTCCTCTAATCCCAGATGACTGAAAATAGACGCTCCTGACGCGAAGGCCGCCAAAACCTGGACCGAATAGTTCGTTCCCGACCATCAGAATGTCTTGGCTCCGTTAAAAAACACTCTTCCCTGTCTCGGAATAATTAAAAACTACGAATTGCACTTCATTGCAACAACAATAAAAGGTGAATGAATAAATTAAAGCGCATAATACTATAACTTTCACATTATATTAATATACACAGTGCGGTTGAAAGCGTTATTTCGGAAGTGGGAATATTTGTGTGGTGTATTTGTGGGAATATTTGTGTGGTGTATTTATTTTTGTGCAGTGTAATGCTGAGAATAATCTATATGAATAACCAGAGCTTTGCATAATTCTAACATTGCCATTGCCCCAGCCAATAACATGTTGCCGAGTCTTTCATAACTAAGTCAATTTGCTTTTATTGAAAGTTTTTGTAATTCAAACACAAAAATGTGTTTTTGATGGAGCAAAATAGTATCCTACAACTACAATAATAATTGAGGTACCTATAATTATTATTGGAAAATAGTTTATCATATTAACCCCCAGATTATTCATCTTCTGATAAACTTGCTGGTAACTATCTACATTCTAATAATTGATTATTTACTTAAGTGTTATTTTATTCTTTATCTACAAGCGTTTAGTTAAGACGTTTTTACATAACTATTTTTAAAGTATTTGAGTTATGTTATCAGACTCATAAGATAACCAGTGGTGTTATGAACTAGGTTATGAATCTATAACTAACACAACTAGTTTCTGTGATGTGACAAATCACAAATGTCATAGTTAAACATTTAAAGAAGGTAGAATCAAGGTAGACAACTACTAATAAACGAAAATAAGTGAAAAAAAATCTTATTTTTCGCGTGTAGAAAAACTATTGAACATCACACGTATGCTTTTAAACATGACTACAAAACTCTTTATTGTAATCATGTTCGTAAACGCACTTGTAATGTAAATAACTATAATCTACGTCGATGTCATTATGACACGTTCAGAATTGTCATTTGAATGTCATTAGGTCCTTCATAATAGCACTAGTGCGTTTAAGAATTCATAAAAACACCCAAATTATGAAATGAAAAATATACAAAAAGAAAGCTAGTTAGCAGAAGAACCTTTTCATTGATGCTGTCTCGATATTCGAAGGGACACACTCGAACTCAGAATCACCAATATTAACACTATTTTCCACTAATAACACTGAATTTATGGCACAAAAATTAACTCCAATATTGAAGCTGCCAAAGTCAAAGTTCTAAAAATCAAAAAGCAGGGGGCGGATTACGAACTCTCGATTCGAACCGAAACCGCAATAGATTTCGAACGCATTCCTATGCATTCACATGGAATGCGTTCGAAATCCATGGCGGTTTCGCTTCGAATCGAGAGTTCGTAATCCGCCCCCAGGTTTCCTACTAGTACAGACACCTGCTAAATTTTGAATTTCAATTTGAAAAGTTTTTATTTCAAGGCAAATCAAATCTATTTGGACCATCGTAGATTTAATTTTGGATGTTCGCCTCGTGGTTTAACGTTACACGCGTTTCATTATGGTGTTCATATCGAACTGATGTATCATTAATAATAACTATTAAATAAAAAATATAGGTACGCGATACTTTCCAAAATCAAAGATATAGCTACTTCTTTCAAAACAAGAAAAGAATCTCAAATAAAGCATCTGGATATCAAAAATATCTCAAATACCTACTTCAAAATAGATACCTATCTAAAGTTTGTTTCATCAGGGTTTGTACTTGCCACCAGCATTGTCTTCCTTGTTTAACAAATAAAAATTGACTGAAACAAATCAATGACGTCAAAAACGTTCGTCGGTTCTTAAACCAGACGTCATTCATTTTAATTTGTCAAAAAAATTGAATGTTTCATATGAATTAATCTACGACAACCCTTTTTTGTCAAGTTTCAAGGTCAAGTATGAACCCTGGTGAAACGAACTTTACTTACCTACCTATTTCTTACAAAAATACTTCCAGCTCTGTTCTTAATCAAATAAACAAGCATTTTTTTTTCTCGAAATTTTCTGACATTCATTTAATTCCCGCTTTCTTTTATCATCTACTCCTTAAAATAATGATTTCTCGATTTTGATGTGAGAAAGTCATTATTCCCGCACGCAAATTCATTGAAGAATGAAGCTCATTCTTCAACGATTTTTAGTGACATTTTAGGGCGGGTATTATAAAACTGCTTTGACAGTTAACTTGGAGTTAACTTTTTGAATTACATGTAATTCCAGAAGTTAGATTGTAGATTGTAGATTTCGGGGGAGTCGTTTCGGCTTTTTAGCCGCTCAGCACTGCTACCTTTGCAGATATTTTGTGCGTGACTCTGCATCTTAATTTGTCTCCAGGAAGCGTAGACTTCTGCCGAAGGAAGCTATTTTCCTGGGTGTCAGTTGGCCCACTTCTTCTGGTGAGAGTGTTGCCCCCTCGAGGAATTTGAGCCTCTTACAGAATTGGGCTGGACATTCGCAGAGCAGGTGCTCTGCGGTTTCTATTGCGTCTGAGCAGAATCTGCAGAGATCGTCTTCCGCTCTGCCCATTAACCTTAAATAGTATTTTACTGGGCAGTGTCCTGTGAGCAGTCCCACCACCAATCTGATGTCTGGTCTGCTCATGTTTAGGAGCTGTTCAGCTCTTTTTGCTGAAAGGGTAATAAACCTTTTTGACTGTCTGAGTCCCGGTGTGTGCCTCCAATATGATGACAGTTGGTATTTCCCCCATTTGTTGAGTTCTTCCCATGATGTGGCTTTTCATTAAGCCACAGTAGGGCTCTGGTCCATGGTATGGTGTTGAGGCCCCTTCCTTTGCGAGGCCATCTGCTTCTTCGGTTCCTTCTATGCCTCGATGACCATGCAGCCACATCAGCGTTACCTGGTTATGTGTCGCTAGTGTTTTTAGGGTCTGTTTACACTCCCAGACTAGTTTTGACGTGCATTTGAAAGCCCTTAAGGCTTTTAAGGCAGTTTGGCTGTCCGATAGTATGAAGATGTGTTTTCTTTTGAGGCTTTGGTTAAGACACTCTTGTGCACATATATCTATGGCAAGCAGTTCGGCTTGAAATATTGTAAGATGTTTACCCCATTCCTTAGAGACCTTGAAGTTAGGGCCGGAAATGCCCAGTCCAGCTCCTTCCATCAGCTTGGATCCATCTGTGTACCACAGAGATGCATTGTCTGCTTGTGGTAGTTCTTTATTCTCCCATGATTGGCGGTCGTTTATTACCACTGCGAAGGGGATCTCTAAGTCCAATCTGACCATCATGTGGTCACTTGGTTTGCTGGCATTCTCCAGTTTTATTAGATCAAGGATTCTCAGATGTCCCCTCAGGTCGCCACGCTTGAACTTGTCTATTTGGAATAGCCTGTGAGCGCTGGGTATTGCCTCCTTTTTCACACATAGGTGAAGTGGGGGCATGTTGAGTAGCGTCTCTAGGGCTGCGGTGGGGCAAGTTGACATTGCTCCCGTTATTCCTAGACATATCAGCCTTTGCACCTTTCTTAGCTTAATCTGAGCGGTGACTTGTTGGGTTTTGGTCCACCACACCAATGAGGCGTATGTGACCATTGGTTTTATTATGGTTTGGTAGATCCAAAATACTATCTTTAGCTTTAGCCCCCATGTTTTGCCAACAAGTCTTCGGCATGACCAAATGGCTGATGTAGCTCGAGAGCATGTTTTCTCTAACTGTTTGTTCCAAGTGAGGGTTCGGTCCCCTAAGTACTTCACTTCGTTGGAAAATGTTAGTTGTGTACCGTTAAGGGTCGGGGCTTTCAAATTTAGCTTCCTTCTTCTTGTAAACGGGACAAGGATTGTTTTGTTTGCGTTTAGGGATAGTCCTTCGCCTTCGCTCCAATTTTTAACGATGTTTAGGGCATTTTGCATTCGGCTTGTCACTATACCTTCATGTTTGCCCTTGATTACAATGGCTAGGTCATCTGCGTAACCTATGACCTGAGGGCGGATTACGAACTCTCGATTCGAACCGAAACCGCCATGGATTTCGAACGCATTCTGATGCATTTGCATAGAGTGCGTTCGCAATCCATGGCGGTTTCGGTTCGAATCGAGAGTTCGTAATCCGCCCCCTGGTATCCAGCACTACTCAGTCTGGTAAGAATTTTGTCTACCACCAGTGTCCATAGTAGCGGAGAAAGAACACCCCTTTAAGGACACCCTCTGATCGTGGTAGCGGTAGCTGATGCTCCGTTTATTTCAGCCGTAACGTGACGGTGTTTCAGCATCGACTCTATCCATTTTACAATTGGAACTTCAACATCCCATTCTTGTAATGCTCTGGCGATTGATTGATGTGAGGTGTTGTCAAAGGCACCCTCTATGTCGATGAAAGCTGTGAGAGCCATCTCTTTGCACTCGATTGTCTTTTCGATGTCTTTAACCAGGCAGTGTAAAGCACTTATTGTGGATTTGCCTGGCTGATAGGCAAATTGCTTCGAGTAGAGCGGTCTTCTCAATAGAGTTTCGCTTCTGATGTACTGGTCGATTGCTTTCTCCATTGTCTTAAGGAGAAAGGAGGTTAGACTAATGGGACGATATGATTTTGGTTCGTCCTCGGGTCGGCGACCCGTTTTTGGTATGAATATCACATTAGCTTCCCACCAAGATAGCGGTATGTGCCCTAGGAGCAGGCTTGCCTTAAAGAGTGTTCCAGAAGTTAACTTTAAGTTAACTCTCAAAGTAGTTTTATGATACCCGCCCTACTTTATATTCAAAGTATACCTATTGGTACCTTCAAAATTGTCAAAACTTCTCAACTCAAATAATAGAATCCACCTGTCAGTTGGCTGGTAAGTAAGTGTCACCAACACATATTTTGCAAATTAAAAATCCCCAACTAACACCGCACACAAAAAAAATTTAAAAAATTAAAAATAAAATCCAAAATCGAGAATAGTATCGGGTCTTCAAAAAAAAAAAAAAAACAATCAAAGATTGCTTTGATTACGAAAACGTACGTCGTATTATTGTTTCTTTATTGGTCAGGATTTTTGACATGACATTTTGACATTAAATTTCATTGCCTGACATTGTCAAAATTAAAGGAAAATAGTGTTAAGATATCCCTAATAACACAGTAACATCGCAGAAACGTTCCAGAAAC